TCTAAAGTCAGTCTAAACTAAATCACTCATTAAATTTGTTGTTGAGGAAGAGTCTGCACACACTTCTGTTAAGATCTGGACACTGTGAGATGTAGCCCTGGGGCATCACCAAGATCTCCACGTCCTGCATCACGCCCTGCACACACAGAGGACACACAAGAAAAACTTAGATAAAAAATAACAGCCATGCAAAGAAACAGACGGGGCCGAGCAATCGCGGTGATGAAGTGCAATGTGTAGCAGCAGACGAGGACCCAGGTGCGTTGAGGTGTCTCTGCATGCTAATTTAATTCCACACTTGAGATGATGAGGGCCCAAACAAACGCAGTACACGCAACAGATAAAACACACCTGTTTACCGAGACATGGTAATCACTGAGAGCAAATGGAGGTATAAGTTTTGATCAGTAAAGAGGCTGTGTTCTAGTCTGCTGCTCCCATGAATCATCACATATCCAGACACCACCCGGAAGTTGAGTGGGCCAAGGATGTGGGAGTTTCTTTTGGTACACGGAGTATTTAGCTGTTCTCTCCCATCTCCTCTGATAAGCATTAACCAGGAGGCACAAATTCAATTTGAGGCACGAGTTTAAAACTAATAGCCTTTTGTCTTGAGCCCAAACCCAAACACTCATAGCATAGACATGTGGATACTTTGTTGCCACGGCAACCTGTCCTGTTTCAATCCTTGAGAGCATTTATTACCCTTGCAGAAGTGGAGCGGTGCAACTTAGGAGAAATTGTTTTCTAAATTGTCCTGTCACTTCAATTTATCGGCCATAAATTCAAAATCCTGCGGAAATGACTGGCCAATTTTTCATGGCAAAGCGCCGAAATGGAGGCAGACAGAAGCCGTGTCTATCAAACTTGTAATGAAACCATAAAACCAATATTTATTTGAAGCCACTGTACAAATTACACACCACACGACTGCAGCCAACTTCATTTGAACAGTGATTAATGCTGTATCGGGTGATTCTGAGTAGCTGAGGTCAAGAGCTGAAGGATTTACTTTGCTGATGTGGCACTTTTGCCAGTGAAACTGAACATGAGTGAGGGTAGACAACATGAAGAATTTACATGAAATCTATCAGAATATATTAGATCAATTGAAAGTGAGAACATAACAGAATACAGAAAAGAACTTACAGATATGGAAAGTAATGAATTGATGCATGGAAACCCTCTTCCTCGCTACAGTAAACTGACAGGTAACAGCGGAGTGGGGATTTATATAACCGGTCAAGAAGAAAACAAACAAAAAAAACATTTGGGGGTCAACTTGGACTGTTACAGCACAAGCTGTAAAGAAAGCAATTCCCCTTGCAGGGAGCTACTATTTTACTGTATTTCTCTGTGTCTCTTAGCAAAGCAAGTGGTGTAATGTAAACACATAGAAAGTTGTAATAATTCATATGCACACAAGCACACTTAAAAAACATAAAATAAGAATACAATTAGAACGTGATAAATGATCTCATACATTAAAGAAATGTCAATTCTAAACACTGAATAACTGAATTGGAAGGATGCTTTTTAATCTGATTAGAGTCCAAAGACTGGAGTGGTTTTGGAAAACCCCAATTATTAAAAACTCTGAGTCCACGCTCCAGTCCAGAGACTTAAATCTGCAGCTCCAGTAGTGCACACTCCTGAGAAAGGGCAGAGTTAATGCCCAATGTCCGCACAAATGCTATGGATTCCATGTATCAAACTGTGGTGCCGATTCCCTGACTATGAGGTCATGACTAACAGAGGCTTGTGATCTTCCGATCATCAGTTACACCCAAAAGTGTGTGTGCACTAATGAAGCTGTGCATTTTGAAAAGGCATCATGCCTTCCCAGTAACTAATCACGCCTGCAGAGAGCGTTGAGGAGAGATGCTGCTACGTGTAAAGCTCAGCGGATGACCTCCGACGCATCTTTCATCACCCAATTAACACAAACCAAAAGCAAAAAAAGTTCCCTTGGACGGGCAAAGTAAAAACAGGTACGTGCAACTACAAATATCACCACACCGTCAAACAAACTGTCTTGTGTAAAAAGTGAAGAGCGGAAGGTAGGCTGACTTTTTTGGCTTATGCAGGTCACCCCAGGTGAGAAATTCAGAAATGTGTTTGATTCTGAAAAAAGGTGATAAACTTTCCATCTCTCTGCCTGATAAGCAATACTGTAGACTAAGCTTAATGAGCACAGTCCACAGGCTGTTTAATGATTTCTCCCAATTCGGTGTTGCGGGGTTGCTGAGATAATTGCACTGTGCTTAGTTACAGACTGAGGGGAAAGGAACAAACAATGACATAAAAAAGTGAAACCCTGTGGTGAGCAGAGCAGCCATCAAATTAAAATGGATACAATTAAACCCAACAGCTATAATAAATAAAACTAAACAAGACAAACAAAGACCGAGAGGACGTGCGACGAGCCCTGTGCACAATGGGGGGAAAAGATATAGCTCTTACTGTTCTGAATCATGTATTGCTCATGAATTTGACAGATCAGGACAGGTTTCAGCGTTTTTATTTATTCTGAGAAAGAAATTTGCAGTGCAGCATTGACCTTGAAGAAGCCATGGGCTGCGTTTCTCTGTCCGAGCCAGAAGGAAGCGTCCTCCGGAATGTCCATAAAGGGGGCTTCTACCACCCGCTCATAGATCCTGAAAAACAAAAAAGCGCATGACAGTTAAAAATCAGACATTTATGGTTCAAACCACCCGAGCGTTTTTAGCTCTGGTCGTGCCATAAGTGGCCGTTTGCAGCCAGATAGCAGGTCCTGCCCTTATAAATCCCCCCGTTAACTCATTCCCCAAGGTAAGCATTCCTGCCGCATGCTTTCTGCGGTCCGCTTGGTGATGCCGTCTGCTTATTTTATCGTGCCAAGGAGCATCACCGTCACACAGAGTTGCACCAACGTGAAACCGAGGAGCAGGTGGAGATCAAATTTAGGTTTGTTTTAGGTGTGTTTAACCTTTACCGGCCCCATGGTACAGCTCAAAACGTGGACGTCTCAGCGGGAAAGCAGCTCAATTGATTTGGAAAACTCAAAAATGACACTAACACTAAAAAATAAACCTGATTGGCTCCCTCTCTGCACACAGTTGTCTTTCTATGTCTGGTAGAAAGGCGGGGTTGCCAGATTCCAGTCCAGCTCATGTAAAAAGGCCAAACTAGAGTGCAGTCAAACGGGTCACCGTGACTATGGCTAATGCACAGCCTACACAGGGTTGACATGCAGGGAAGCGTCAGAATGACAGGGATTTAGAATATAAAGATGTGATCCCTTGAAAGCCTCTCACCCAGCAGAAATGGCAATTTTCTATCATACTAAATGGAGTAAATGGGGCAAACAGCAAACCCTGTCCTTCTAATACTGAACCATAATCTGTGTGCTACATCAGTCTAGTTCGTTCGGGCTTTAGATTTCTTTTTATTCATTCTTTATGGGTTCAGTATCAAATGAGACTAATACATTTAATAGTCAATAAATGGTCTTTTAGAAAATCTATCAGATGTTGCCCCTGGAATCTGTTACTTGTATTTTAGGGTTCATGGCTCCACTGATACCCCTGTTACACTCACTTCTACATAGCATATATGTCCTCCTTTTTAAGCTTCTTTTAGTCCTTCTTATTGATGTTGCTAACACTTGGGGTTCCTACATTTTTCAATACTACCATCATAATGTTGAATTAGTTAGCCAGCACTAGTTTGCTAGTTTTAATTTTGATACTTCCAACATGTTCCATGCCCATTCACAGACATAGTTCCAGTCACATGGTTATGGAGTTCTATGCATTTCTAAGACTCTCATAGATATTTTCTTATGTCAGTCGCTCTTTCATGATAGATTCTACTGTTTCTCCTTTACTTTACTAAGATAACCATTACTCTGACATCGCGCATGCTTTCTCAGCGTCTCACCTGTTGCAGTCCACGTGTAAAATGACGTGAGAGGCGCTGACGGCCACGGAGACCTTGTGCCACTGGTCGTCAGCCAGGCTGTACGGGAACACCTCAGTGTGGTCTTGTTGGCTTTTGGTGCGATAGTGAAGACGCACCTCACTGCGCTGGCCGCTGCTCTCAAGCTCAAGGAATCTGAAGGAAAAGGTAGGAAAAGATAGGAGTCTCCTTTATAAACAACCAAAAACCCTGCGTTCCTCCCACAAGAACCACATTACCGAGAGCGAATCTTAATATTCTACCCTCTGCAAACACATTTTTTTCCCCGCTTGACAACACAGAGCTGAGAGATAAACACTGCAATCATTTTTGAGCAGTGCACCCACATTCCTCTGATCTGCACAAGTATTTAGAATTCGATCACATCAGTAGTCAAACATAATGGCACTATATGGCTCGTAAGTGCAACATCAGCAACACACAATGGCCCCCATGCAGAGGTTTAACTTTTCAAACTGGAGTATTAGTATTCCGGGACAATCCTTTCCCTCCACAGCACGGAGATTCACTGAGCACAGGGATTCTAATGGAAAGAGCTGCCAGTACACACATCATCCCTGCTTTTAAAGGTAGACTTATTTAAAGCAGAGTTATTTGCTGGAAACATTATTCAAAAGAAAAATAGAAGCTCATGCAAGTGTAGCAACGGAACTGATTTATCTGCAATCCACATCTAATAGATTTACTCTCCCCTAGCCATGCATGGACATTAATCCAGCCTCTATAAATGCAGTCGTTTACACCTCTGATGTTGAATTAGTCCTTGTCACGTTTCCAAATGAAATCATGCAGCGGTGCTTTGTAGCATATGAATGTCTGGGAAAGCTAATCAGCAGTGGGGAAAGTCATTAACATCCCTGTGAGCTCTCTTCTCAGGACTGGCTTTAATGTAGAAACTGTTCAATCAGTGCATTATGTGAAACTCAGATTGCTGTTCTGATCACTCAACGGCTCAGCCACCACAAACTAATGGAAACATTAGCATACCAACTGCAGATAGGGTCTCATCAATTTTCAACTTAACAATTACAGACTCCGTGCCTGGATCATTGAACTGTGCAGTGGCATTTGGGCTGCTTTGCTCAGTCTATTCACGTAGTGTGTAAAACATCTAAATGTTTATCAAATCCAAGTATTGGAATTTTTCAATCAAATATAGATGATCAGCTGTCAGGGGGATGTATAAAAGATTTACTCTTCCCTGAAATATGATATGAGATATGTTATATTTGCCTTAGAATACCTTCTTACAAAACAACAACACTGGTTTGGATACTTGGATACCTGGAATCTATTTCTGCTACCATAACACAAATGAGAAATGATTATCTTATTTCCAAGAAATAAGCGGCTGACAGTTTGCCCGTGAAAATATTTTTTTAAAACATGCAGCACCAGGATAACATGTGCACTTCTCATACCTGTGCTCAGAGTGGTGGATGGAGAGGATGACTCCGGAGTTGAGGTGATCCTGTTTGAGCGTTGCCAGCAGGGTAAACTCATTTTTGCCTTTAAGCTTCTGGACCATTTGCTCCACAACCCCAGCAGGAGCTTTCACCTCCCTGGAGGATCCTAGAACGAGCAGAAGAACCCCAGAAATAAGTAAAGCATTGTCCCTAAACCACATATCCCACTTTGCCTTTAAAAGCTTTGATTGTTCAATCTTGAGCTTATAAAACAACATTGAAAACAGTTAACACACTTTGCAGCTTCAAATTGTGCATTTTAGGATGTATGGGATGACAGTCATGCTCAACAAACTGTTTGTGTTGCATTTATTGAGTCAAATGTATTGTCATATGTAACTTCCTTTGATTAATTATCTGCTTGAAATCAAATACATACATTTTGTTTTATGTTCAATAATTCATAGAACGAGCTTTTGAATCCCACAGAGTTACTATCCTATTCATCATTATTGATCTACAGTATTAATCACTTATTAATGATTAACTTGTTGATGAAGTAGAGCATTTTGAAATATAATCCTGTACTGACTTGTAAAATTCAATGTAAAAAAACAGGCGAGATTCTATGAAGAGCCATTCGGCATTCTGCAGTAAATATTTAATGTAGTCTCAAAATAAAAAATGGTTTATTTGTAATTTACAAATAGAAAGTCAACATAAACCACAGTGAACTGGTAAAAAAAAAATATCATCAAAACATTTTTGAAAATGTTCCCATATCCTTCCTTAGCCTTATTTCAAAAACCCTCTTTTTGGTTTATTTGGTTTACGCCCTGTCTGAGCCGAGCATTTTCATAGGCCCATTTTCTCCAGCATCCAACTTGTTTACAACCAGCAGTTCTTTTGACATCAAAGACTTTCCCGTTTTCACAGGATAATCATTTATCTTACAAGATAACCATTAGGCGGACTCCTCTACTTGGGGGAAGCTTAGAGATTATTCAAAGTTTAAGCGAAATGAGACATTTCTGTGGGGGGAATAAAGTGTGTGTGCAGCCATCTGTTGGGACAGCAGCATCACAGCTAGTTACAAACACTGATAAAGAAGACGGGCTCTGCGCTGGGTATTGCGCTGGAGCCCCCTGGAGCTAAATATGCAAAGGAGAATGATGCATAAGTCGCTTAACAAAACTCAAAGCACAATAGACTTTCCACATAACAGCGATAAAACAATTAAGCGTTTTCACAGAGACCCTCCTTCAGTTTCCCTCCACGAGAGCTAGTACAACAGTTTGTTCTTGCTAACAGCAGTAGCCTGAGACAATGCCTCATAATCATTCACTTATTCTATTTTAACCAGCTCCATTTTCCTGTTTGCTATCACTGAATATCCCCCTTACTCGTTTTAATTAATACTTTTAATATGAATTCCCTTTAGCTTTAGTCATAGTCACTTAAGTGATTTCAAATCATTTGTGATTTACATAACAATATGACAATAATGACAATAATGTGAGCCTATTACCAGCTATCCCCAAATTCTCATCACACGGTCAAGAGTCTCTCCTGAGCTGGCTGAAGTTGAGGACTTTGGGGAGTGATGTTGGGGGGATTTTTTGCCGATTTTGTGGCGTTAGTTAGTAACCCCCTGTTCCATTAGTGTGCCTCCTCTCTCTTCTCAAACAGATGTCTATGCTACTTTAATGGAGGCATCAATAAATGATGACGTTTCTCAGAAGCAATCACATCAAAGAGCTCACTTCAAGCATTGGGTTTGCATGCGAGATGCCCCGGCGCACTTAAGCGATCCGGGGGGGGGCGGCGGGGTGTTTTTCCCTCTGTGTGTCGACGTTACTGACAGCTGGGGGGAGCAGCCAATTAAAACAATGCAATATAAAACAGGAAGCAACACATATAAAGCCAGGATATTTCTAATAAGTGACCCTTATGGTGACAAAGAAGAGATTTCGTTCTGTTCTCTGGCACATTCATTCCAGTAGCTTTATCCTTTTTGTGATGCGGGCTTCCCTCCCACCAGAGACTTTTGTCCCGGTGATTTCTATATATAACAAGCGTCTTCTCTACATTTGTCCCCCTCAGAAGAGGAGAGGCAGAGATAAGAATGTCATACGTTTTGCATCACCAGTTGGGTATTATCCCTGTGTCATTGGCTGAGGTGGGACAGATGGTCCAATGACGGCAACAGGAGTTCTGCCTAAGCAATAATCTGCTGCAGCCAACTAAATCTGCTTAGTAACCCAACGGAAAAGGCGCCGTTTGAAAATCATCGCAGATTTTGACTGAGATGATTTCTCTTTTTATCACAGGTTGGGCTGGAGGTGGGTGTCTTTTTTGTTTCTGTTTTATCATGTTTTATTAAAATGTACTCATATACAGTCAGATTGTGAGTCGGAGGAAAAAATGATCCATTAAAGATTCACCGTGTGTTTGAAAAGATGCATTGGTCAGTATATTTCCAGGCATAGTGTTGAATAAAGAGTGCTATGATATCTCAATCATGAGCTAAATGAGCTCAGTGGGAGCAGGTGTCAGGGCGGGGACCAAACTGAACGAGGACTGATGAGGCGGGGGGGGGGGGGATGGTGAGGACGGAGAGAACCGCATCACTGGCCCGCCTCATCCTTTGACCTATAAGAGGATGACTTTCAACACCAGTCGTCACACTTTCAGGGCAAGAGGTTGCCTTATACAGTACTTTTGGGAATTAGAAGGCGGAGGGAGGCTCGGGCTCATTGGATTTTGCGTGGAACGAATGGTGTACGCTTAAATATGAAAATCAAATTATTTCAACACCATGCATTAACAAAATTGAACTTCAAAATGCCTGCATTTCGTAATTCATTCATGATTCAGCAGTAAATGAGCTTGTGGTGTGATAAAACTGCTTTCCCTCATGCCAAATCAATTTCTCCTGCTGAGGGGTCCTTTGGTCGATTATTTATTGGCAGGCCCTTGGTTAGGGCAGCCACCTGCTCCAAAAGACCACTCTGACACCAACTAGCTGGAAAATGACTGTCTGGCACATCAAACTCTAATCAGCACATTTTGGGGACAGTGACATAACTCTAGTCAGCTCTTCCGGTTGTTTGGAAGCGAGGGGAACCAGTTGATTGTGAGGTTGTTGTTTTTTGTTTTCTTTTTTCCGTGCAGAGTTTTAGCAGCTGAAGGGAGATCTCTTAAAGCCTCTGGCTCAATAGCATCTCTTGGAAGCATGGCTTTGTGCCAAGGAATAATCTTATCTCCCGGGTATGTTGTGTTTTAATCGTTTTACTCTGGCCACCATTTCCATCCCCCAGCTCCACCTTTAATCTTACACTGTCTGATGGTCTTATTTTGCCTGACCATCACTACACTGCTGTATACTCCCCCCCCCCCCCTCCTGCAATCCCAAGCTCATACATCCAGAAAGCAGAATTGCATCTGAGCTCGACAATCCACAATCATTTACGCAGCTTTATAAAAGAGCCCTTTCTCTTCTATTTCTTTTACTTCACTCTGTAATTACAGATTTAACAGGAAAAAAAACTCCTATGCTCTCCGGCTCCATGTTCTGAAGGACAGGTAGAGGTGTGTTCGTGCCTATTATATGCTGGGCTTCTAAATTCATTATGGCCATAAGAAAATTGTGCCTAAAAGCACTGTTAGTGGTATTAAATAAGATTAGATCCATTTTTGTATCGCGAATAATGAGGACTTTCCTTCTCTGGCCGCCAGCAAATTCCAAGAACAAAATAACACCTCTATCTCTGCTACATTTTGCTAATAAGCAATTTTTCTACCAGTTAAGAGTGAGTGAGAAATTAGATGTGTGAAAGACACAGAGCCAAGCCCGGTCCGAGTAAACATGCCGAAGAAATCCGAAGTGGAAGGAAGTCAACATTTCGATACGATGTGTAAAGAGGGACGACATTTTTCGCACAACATCTTTTGTAGATAAGAAAAAAAAAACGAGCAAAAGATATTGCATCTCCTGAACTTCACACACAGGACGGCGGGTTAGGAAAGAGAAAATCTCCTCAGCAGGATTAGAGTGATGATGAACTCTCCACTGGCACCGACCCGCAAATCCTTCATAAGTGTCAACACTCACACTTGCAGCTGTGAAACAGGTGTACACTACAGCTTATGACAGGGACATTTGACTAGGCTACAAGTCCCAACACTGAGTCAAACAGAAATGAGAGATGGAGAGTGATGGAGTGTGGTGGACTACAGCAGGCTCACCCACATACATTCTCAAAGTGTTCAAATTCGTAATGCTCCAAAAATAACGCTGTGCAAATCTGATATTATATTCAGCCATAATCAGGTATTATCCAACACAAGTAGAAAATTAAACAATGTCAAAATAGCAAAATTGCTAGAATGTTACATAAAAGAAAAGAAAACCCCATGGGAGGGTTGGAAAAGAGAAAGAACACCAACTAAAACAATTTCTCTCTGACCAGAAGGGCTCAAAGAAAAATAACACCTAGCTTACACTTATGTTTCTGTACGCTATGTTTTTTTATTACAGTACAGATTGGTACAACGTGGCAGAGGTTTTCTCATGTCGAGAGGTGCTCAACTGCCTCGAATAGAAGATGTATCACATGGATCAAAGAAATGGAAAGAAAAAGCATATGAGATCTGAATGTGTCACTCAGTGTCAAAAAGGTTTGGCACAAGGAAAAAAAAAGGAATAAGAAAAAGAAATGACCAGCAGACGGTGTCCGGGAAAACCTTTGGATCAAGACTAGAAAACATACAGTTTCCAGCGCACATTTCCCAGAACACATAACATATAAGCGATACATTATTAGTTTAGAAGCTTTTATTTTAAATCAGATTTTACATTTTGTGCTCAAACTTCAGAGGTCTCAGTGATTTGTGCCAGAAGCGTATTCCACCATACACAGATCTGCATTCATCGAATCATCCCCCCCCCCCCCGTTCCCCCACTGTTTCTCCACTCTTCTGGAACAAATACTAAACTGAGACAAGGGCACCTCCAGGAGTGCTTTGGCCAGCAATTTCTCCTCAATTCTCAGATCGCCTCCTCAGTGACCGCCTGTCTGACATTCACACACACACGGAGCTAATGACAGCCTTCCTGCCACCCGGCTGTACAACTGTCTTCAGGGGATGGAAGCCTCTTTCTCTACATGCTCCCTTGCACTCCTGCGCGGACCAGAGGATCAGGTCTGCCTCAGGAAGCAGCAAGCAAAAATTATTTGGTCCACGGGGGAGTTGGACATAATGTCTGTCATAACATTACGCCTGTCATAACATGAGGAAAAGGTTGCACAAGAAAGTACTTGACTATTATTTAGTACTATAAAGTATAAGTATAAGTATAAAGTACTTGACTACTGTGAAAATACCGTATCAAAGTGTTTCAAAAAGCAGGCTGACTAAGTAAAAAGGTTGTTATCCGACTTTATGTAATGCCATGATGAAAAAGTTAGGCCTATAAAAGTCTTACCGCAACATTAGGAAAACAAAACCCTGAAAATATTCTGCATTGTACATCTTTTTAAGGTTTTAGATCAAGGCTGATCACTGATCAACTCCAGGTTGAAATGAGTACCCATGACAACGCAATACTTTAATAGCTTTACATATTCAAATAAATTCACCATCGACTCTTCACATCCACAAATAAATCCCCCCAAAAATGTACGTTTTTCTGGTGGATTCAGTGCTTACAGGAGTAAGTAGTCTTTTGTAGTGGTAGCTTTTGTTCCATGCAAACATTCCACACTTTAGGTTCAACTTCTGACTGATGGAAGCCTTCTGCCATCATCTTATTTTCTACTTACAGCTCCTTAGGACCTAATTCTCACTTTGTGTTCTGTTCTCCATTGTGGCTCAGAAAGAGAAATCTCTGTGGAAGTACAAAGAGGGAATTTCAGACTAGGAAGTCTTTAACTTTGGGAAAGCCCAGCTGATCTGTCTGGCTCAGGCTTTAAAAGCTTTTTGTAAGCTTACCCTAAAGTTTGAGCTGCTACGTTTCCCATCACTTCAAGAATGACTCTCTTTGCAACCGGTACTGAACAGAGAAGTAAAAATGAGGCAATATTTGGATGTATGGTTAACAAAAGGCTTGGGACTTTTTCGTTTTTAAGTTTCGGTTATTTGTTCATATTTAATATTGTCACTTCTATTATCCAGTAGTTCTAACTAGCTTGTTCCTTATGTATGGCAATTTTTACCACCTCCTGAACTTGGAATATTTTTATCGTGCTGTTCAAATGTTGAAATATATTTCTTTAGTGAGCAGAAATGGCTTTGATTAAGGGGGAATCTTGCTAAAATGTCAACATTTTAGTGGCTTGTGTCTTGGATTGAGGCTAAAGTGTTGCCCTGATAACCGGCGTGACAGTCCCCACAGACAGCGTGATGCAGAATGCTGTTTAGAAGGAGGAAATCTAGCGACCGTAATAGAGATGACATCAGTGTTAAATTCTGTTTGATGAGCCTTTATTTCAACATGAACATGGAAAGCAGTGAGCATCTCCAAGCAGGTGGTCTCTAAAAATAGACACGGGTTTAGTATTAGCATTGTGGGGAGCTGCAGTGGGATTGAATGCATGACCCAATACCAACATATTTAACACTTTAGCTGCCTTGATTTTTGATATTTTTAAAAATAACTATCTAAGTGATGTATTTATAACATTTTAAATTTTTTAGAGCACTATTCTATACATCTGTATTATAAAGAAAGCGTTGCGGCTCCATTTAATTTGGTGTTCGACCATTTCAGTGAATGTACACTATATCATAGTGTCCAAACAGAATTTTACCAGGGGGAAAAGTTGCATTTCAAAACACAAGCTTGAACATCTACCTGACAGCCAAAAGCCTAAAAATCCCTTCAGAAATTTCCGATCACCCTGTTTATTATTATTTACTGGCACCGGCGCCAGTCACAGATGCGACAAACGCACTTATCCAGGACAACAAAGTGACTGTCAAACATCGAGCGTCTGTCATAGTTTGCCTTCTCTTCTTGGTGCAGATGCATGATAACACACACCCCACAATATGCCCACGTTACAAATGAGTCTCTTCCGTCTCGTTGCACTTAACTGTCGGCGGATTCAGCACCGTTATCACCACAACACATCCCACTGGAAATGTTCAAAAACTCAGACTTAAAACACCTCAGAAGCAGACTGAAATCACATTCACACACACTATTTTACTGCTGCTGCCACGAGTCTTCTGACCTGCGAGGCTTGGACTTCCAGTGAGTTTGATCCCTACACTTGTAGCCATAGAGATTGGGTGTTGGAGCGTTGGGGGGAAGGGCGTGCTTCTGGGTGTGGCCCCTCTTTTTGTTTGTACAAAGAGATATCTGGTTGTCTGGATATGGGAAAAAAAGAAACTGTGGGGGGAAGTGCTAATGGTGTGATGATTTTGCGGTACGGCTGTGCATCACCTGGCGTCGGGACATTAGAGGAGCGTGGCCTCGGGGCTTTTTCTCCCTCCTCATCACCCCCGTCCCCGAGGTCCGCCTCCCCTAATGCCACGCAATGTTGCTCTGACAGCTACCTTCAAACGCATCAGCAGGGGTGTGCTAAACAGCACGCCCCCCACACCCCCACTTCAGCACTGGCTGCTTTCTTCTTTGTTTTTTTGCAAAGGTACACACTTTGGGTAGATATAAAGATATTGAAAATAGAAATATCCCCATAGGAATTGCAACACACATTTGAATACAGATATTTTACCACTGTCTTTCCGCCACCCGGCACCTTTCCTTTGGGCAGACAGACAGTGGAGGGGACGTCCATGGACATGTTGTGTTTTGCCCTGCTGTTTAATGAGCGTCAGAATGTCACAGGCTGGTTCGAGCCAGCAAAGCATCCACGTATAAACACAGTTTATCAAACAGCCGGCAGACAGCGCTCTGCTCTCTCCCTCGTCCCGGCCTCTTCCTTTTCCGGCTCCCCTCGCTCCTTTCTGCCTCTCTTCAAAAACGCGCCTCTCCCATATCGGTTGCTGACAACAAACAAGCAGAGGCCCAGGTCTGCTCT